TATTTCTTACTTAGTTTCTTGTTTTTAATTCATGGAAAAGAAGAAAAAACTGGTAGATATGCTTGGGAAAAAAATCTGTTTTAAATCTAATGATGTTTTAAGCATTTCTAGAAGCATTTTGGTGCCTGTGTATTAAGTACTTCCAGTATGTGTGTCAGTAAAGTTTGAATGAAAGACAGTTGTACTGTTAAAATTTTATTCTGATATATTAAATGACAAAAATTTAGAATGGAATACATTATTGGTTGATCTCATGTGAATGACAGGTAAGTTATTTTCTATAATGGTTATGAGCACACATTAAAAATAATTATGTGTACAGATAAATGTAGATAATAAACATTGTAATATTCATTCATTCATTTTCTTGTCGGCTTAGTTCCTTTATTAATCCGGGGTTGCCACAGCGGTATGAACCGCCAACTTATCCAGCAAGTTTTTACGCAGCGGATGCCCTTCCAGCCGCAACCCATCTCTGGGAAACATCCACACACACACATTCACACACACACTCATACACTACGGACAATTTAGCCTACCCAATTCACCTGAGATCGTGTTGCAGTAAACAGAATAAATGTTTAGAAAAAATGACATATCATCAGAGAAAATTTTATCATGAGTGATTATATTCCGGAAAAAGTATGTCCAAATTAACAATACTACCCTGCAGACACAGGACATGAAAATGACGTCAGACCTCAACGTTGTGGAAAATTGAGTTGACATCAATGTCCAACGTTCAACCTAAAATGAACCAAATATAAAGATTCTATGATGTTACAGCTTGACGTTGTGTAGACGTTACCACTATGACGTCTATCAAAGGTTGGATTTTGGTTGCCATACCTGACAAATAAATTTCAGTATTTGACGTCAGTATGACATTGGTTTAGGATGTTGGCTTTTGGATTGTGGTCACTTTTCAACACACAAATATCAACGTCATTTGATGTCGTCATTGGATGTCAAAATTCTTAGAGGCTGGCTAAACATTGATTTTTGGTCACCATGTCACAACCTAAATCTTACCTAATATTAACGTCCTATGACATTGTGTGGCTGCTGTGCTACTAATACTAATAATAATACAAATATGTATGCTTCCATGAATTCAGTGATTTTGACTTTGAAAGTGTTTAATTAAAAATGATTTTTGCATGATATATAAAAGAGGGAACTAATATTTGTGCCAATTATTGTAACTCAAAGTAGCCTTTGAACTTGTTTATACAAAACCTCTGTTGATTGCATTCAATATAATGATTTGTATGCAGAGCTGTTGAACATGTAATCCAGATCTACATTTTACCACTGACACTGAATTATAAAAAGGCTTTTATTAGACTTTGGTCTGCGTTTGATAATAGAATATTTTTTCCACACAAATACCAGTTCATCCACTCTCATCTTTTTCATTTAGTTGATAATCCTCTTACTTTCAAACATTGATAGTGCCATGCAGCAGGTCACAGGGCATTGAGACTCAGGTTTTGTCATGGTAATGAAGCAAGTGAGACAGCTTTTAATTCACAGACGATGAGCTCACATCTTTTAACACAAATAATAGCATTTTTTTTCTTAAACTATTCAAATTGGCAAGTCACTTTTTCATCTGTTATTATTTCCATGAAGTACATCTCCCCTGGCTTAAAGGAACTGCCTTTCATTTTTCATTGAGTGAAAGCCTGGATTTGTTGAGGATCATTACCATTACAACAGCCCCTGCAAAAATACTGTTATCTTCTCCCGAGATATCAAAGGATGATATGTATTGGCATCTCATTCACTCTCACAGACATGATACAGATCAGCGAGGATATGCTAATGATGGAAAATATACATTTAGGTTAAGTTGGGAAAGGGGAATTGAGTAGTCATGCCTTCATCATGTACAGTTGAAGTCACAATTATTAGCCCTGCTGTGGATTTTTTACTTAAAAAAAATAATAAAATCCCAAATGATGTTTAGCCGAGCAAGGAACTTTTCACAGTATTTTCTGTAATATTTTTTCTTCTGGAGAAAGCCTTATTTGTTTTATATATATATATATATATATATATATATATTAGGGTCAATATTACTAGCATTATTTGTTTCAGATTGTCTGCAGAACAAACAATAACTTGCCTAATTACTAGAGATGTCCCGATCAGGTTTTTTGCTCTCAAGTCTGAGTGATTTAATTTTGAGTATCTACCCATACCAAAACCCGATCCGATACTTCTATAATACATAAAAAAGAATAAAGAAGAGCGAAGAAATAGATCAAGGATGTTCCTTATTTTTTTATTTAATTCACCTTATTTTAATATTCAACAACTCTGTTAACAAACAGAGCACTTCTTGAAGCTTGAACAATCAAGTAATAAATAACATCAATTCTTCATTTTTGGACTTTTGTGCAACAGTGAATTAAAAAAAAAGTAATATAAACACAAATAGCTCCTCAACTTAAAATACCTGGCAGGTAATCACAAGTTTACATTTCTCCCATGCTATGGCAATGTTGTCGTCGTCAACTTTACAATCCAGACCGCAGACATACTCTCGCTTTCCACTTCAAGCTGCTTCCGTGTCCTACTTTGCCACAATTTAACCAATAGTGTGTGTATGTATATATATATATATATATATATATATATATATATATATATATATATATATATATATATATATATATATATATATATATATTCTCATTTTTTGACTTAAACTGCTTGATCAGGCCCGATTTATAAATCATGTGATCGGATCTGGACATTCCTACTAATTAGCCTAATCTGCCTAGTTAACCTAATTAACCTAGTTAAGCATTTAAATGTCGCTTTAAGCTGTAGTGAAGTGTTTTGAAAAATATCTAGTAAAATATTATTTACTGTCATCATGGCAAAGACAAAATAAATCAGTTATTAGAAATGAGTTATTAAAACTACTGTGTTTAGAAATGTGTTGAAAAATTTCTCTCCATTAAACAGAAATTGGGGAAAAAATATACAGGGGGTTAATAATTCAGAAGGGCTAATAATTCTGACTATATGTAACTATATTTAAAAAGATTTGTATTTCATCAAACAAATACACTCTCAGAATTAAACATGAGCTGTCACTAGGTTGGTACCTTTGCAGAAGTTTCAAAGTTGTACCTTAAAGGTCCATATTAATACCTCAAGGGTTCATATCAGTACCTGGAAAGTACAAAAGTGTTCCTCTTAAAATTTGTACTAATTTATACTTTTGAGGTACCAATATGGACCCATAAAGTACAAATGTGTACCTTTTGAAAATGTACCACCCCAGTGACAGCTTGAGTACCTTTATTTCTGAGAGTGTACCAAGAAAATATTATTGCTGAAAAGACACTTAGACTATAGAATATTACTTAAGTGTAGTTATCCCGCATTATGTTATGTGTATTATTTGATAAACTAGGGGAGAGCGGGGACGAAAGTAACGTGGCAAAAAAGTAACAAAGTGATTTTTTTCGAAGCGCTGACAGCATTTGCTTTCCAGACTAAAACAGCACATTCAGAATGCAACCCTTGATGGAGCTGCCAAATATGTGATTTCAGGACAGTGTCCTGCTGTTAGGTCTAAATTTCTGTTTTAAGTGCAAAAATTAATATAACATCCTTAAGTTTGCAATCTCTGAGTTTTTCAGTTTAAAAGTAAATCAGGTTCAAATGTCAAGAGTTCCTGTGGGGATGAAAGTAACACTGTTATTTATGTCCCTCTGCTAATAGACATGCATTATTTTTCACTTCCACATAAATGTTGTCATATTTGGATTAAGATGATGAAAAAAATTATTACATATTGCCAATGATAATAAAAAATATTCAAAAATTGTAGAACATTTTGCTTTTGCTGGATTGCTTTTGAAACACTTGATGAAAGTTTATTTATTTATTTATTTGTATTTGTAAAAATATAGGACAAAATATGCTTGCAGTTAATATTAAGAAGGTCATAGTCAGATTAAAAAATAAACAAGATTAAGCCAGCAAATCTAGCAAATGTTGTGTTACTTTTGACCCAGCTGTGTTTTACTTTCGGCCCTGCTGACTTTGTCAACAATGTGCAACTTTTATTTAAAGTGAAGTTATATTGGAGTTGTTCTACATTTGTTCAAAATATCATCTGATTTTGACAGAGCACTCTTGTGAGTTAGTAACCACAGTAAAAATACATTTCTGCTAAAAACTTTATCTTTTAAAATTAGTGGGTAGCGCTTTTGCCTTACAGCAAGAAGATCGCTGGTTCGAGCCTTGGCTGGGTCAGGCGTTTCTGTGTGGAGTTTGCATGTTCTCCCTGCATTTGCATGGGTTTCCTCTGGGTTCTCTGGTTTCCCCCACAGTCCAAAGACTTGCTGTACAGGGTGAATTGGGTAAGTTAAATTATACGTAGTGTATGTGTGAATGAGAATGTATGGGTGTTTCCCAGAGATGGGTTGCAGCTGGAAGGGCATCCACTGCATAAAATATGCTGGATAAGTTGGTGGTTCATTCCGCTGCGGCAAGACCAGATTAATAAAGGGACTAAGCCAAAAAGAAAATGAATGCATGTGGTTTTTATAAAAAAAATGTTCTGTTATCTATATTTTCATGTATATAATTATATGGATAATCATATCTGTCGCTCGCTTCATGGGAACTGCTAGCACTTTTTTTCTAGCAACCGTGTAAGCTAACTTTGCAGTGCATCATAACATGTACTGCTTTACTAATGTCAGTCTTATGTAAGTAGTGACAGCAAGCCTAATTAAAAACATAACCATGATAATTAGAACATCAGTAGTGGAAAATCGAATAAGAATTTGGTGTACGCGGCAAACTAACTGCACGTTATTAGAACAGATGGTTGGAGAGGAAGTTCTGTGCGCATGCGCAGTGCGCCTGCCTAGAGCTGAAGCGCAGGCAGCGCTATGAGAGACCGAGAGAGAAAAACACCCCTTATCTGTAGAGAAAGGCTCAAAAGTTCACTCGTTTCGCACAAAATTCTTTCTGCGACTCACTCAGGTCACATATCGTACCGTGTTTCTATGTCTGTGATGCGGAGTGTCTGAGAGGTTTGTAAAATTATTTTTTTTCTTGCATTTTGAACACCGCTCTGCGCACTGACACAAAGACAGATGCTTACTCGATCTGCACTTTATTGTGTTGCTCAGGGACAAACAAATCAGATCCGTGCGAGCTTTAGTAGAAGGACCTTTCGTTATTTCGGCCGTTAAGCAACATTGTTGGCTCGGCTTTGTTATGGTTCTGTCTCTTGTTTGGGCCGAGCGTGAAATGTAGGCCAGACGAGACGAGCCTTGCTGGGCTAACTTGGTTTCCTCGACTCTTTTTCTCTTCGTTTTCCGCATCACTCGCACAACGAGCGAGTTTAACGGAATGGCGACAAGTGTTCGGCGTTCACATGTGTCTATAAAGTTGTTCGAACGCGGTAAGAAACACGGTTATCGATATATAACAAAAACTTGGGGCGGATGAGAATGATTTCGTAGCGCATTACAGCGATGTCTGATTCGCGAACGAATCATTTCTTCTGAGTCGGATCTTTTCAGTGAATCCGGTTCGCATAACTAGTGCTTGGTTTCTTCGCTTACTATCGAACTTATTATCGAATTGTTTTATAGCGGTTCGCAACAGCTCACGCGTAGGGGTAGTTGGCTCAAAAAACGAATTATGCTGTATATTTACTTGTCTCCATGTCATTCGACATGTAGGTGTTTTTTTTTTTCTTATGTAACGTAAACGTAAGTTACAACATTGAAGATTTTTAGCTGAATCCGGTGTCCTTTGTGTTTCCTATAAAACAGTTAATGACTACCAGTACTTTGAGAGTCAAATTAAACATATAAGTTACAGGCAACACAAAACTGATAACTTAACTGTTCATTTCATTGACCCTTGAACATTTCCTACTTGCTATCAAACTATTTCACTATTTTCAACTGTAACAAGAGGTTAAAACACCTATCATAACGTTTTTTGTCAATATCTGGACCTTTTTGGATTCTCTGAAGTTATGGAAATTAAAAATTTAAAACAGGAAATACATTAGGACCACTGTTATTGTTTACATTCCTCAATATGGTCTACAGACATGTGAGCTACGTGTGTTATTTTTATATTGTCTGTAGGAAGTTTGCTTTAGGAAGCAAATCAATCTCTTGCAAGATGCTGAACATTATTATGACATTTATGACATTATTACCTGTAATCCTTAGCCTTGACAAAGTCCCGAATGCATTCAGATGCTTGTCACATGACGCATAAACTAATACAAACTCATGCAATTGGATGCTATTTGTTTACTAAGGGGAGGGTTTGTTGTATTGTTAATCACGTTGATACTTGAGGTTATCCTGGATCCTTCAGTCTGTTTTAAAAAAGTGGGGCAAACTAGAGAAAACCCACACGAACTCTGGGAGAACATGCAAACTCCACACCAAAACGCCAACCAGTGACCTTTTTGCTGTGAAGCGACAGTGCTTACCACTGAGCCACCGTGACGCCCCGTATATAATTATATGTATATTATAGTTATATCTGCCTTGCTTTATGGGAGCTGTTAGCGCTTTTACATCTGACTGAGTAAGCTAACTTTGCAATGCATCATAAAATCTACTACTGTACTAATGCCAGTCATACCCAAGTAACTGATTGCTGTCATATGACAATTACGCTGACACAAACTCCAATGCAAGCGGATGCTGTTTGTTTACTATGGGGAGGTATTGTTGTATTGTTTATCATGTTGATACTTATGGATATCCTGGATGCTTCAGCCTGTGTTTAAAAGTTGTAAACAATCATTTGTTTGTCTGTTTGCACCCACATGTGTCAATGCGACAGGAAGCTTGTGCTTCAGACTGTTGTGAACGATCAGGACTGATCGGAGAGGCTATGGATTAAAGCTAATGACATTGTAAACATGTTCAGGTTTGTATTAGTTAACCCCAGTGTACCATCATGAGGCACAGATATTATTATTTTTTTGTCTTAGTTTTTTTTTTTACTTTAAAAGTGCAGGCGATCCTTTACTTGAGCTTAAAGTTCACCACAGTTTCAGCTACAAAAAAATAAATAAATAAAAAATCACTCGTGGTTAAATGATGGGGAACAACAGTCAGCTACATCTAGTCATGGGTCGGTATAAGATTCTGGCGGTAGGATAACCTTGGATAAAAATATCACGATTTCACAGTATTGTGATAACTGCTCTAAAATATATTCTATAATATAATGTCTGGGTAAAAACAAAAACTTTTTGTCCCCTTTGGAAACAATATATTTTATTTTAAGAAACATTTAAAATGTTCTGGAACAGTAAACAAATCAGGCTAATTAATTAAAATAAATCAATGACTTCTGCAGTCTTCATTAGTTTAAAAAGCACCGATTTCTTTACAATTTGATGTGGATATCTGTTGCCCTAAAAAAATGTAAATAAAAAATCTTACACATACATTAGGAACAGTATTGCACAAAATTGTTTGACTGTTTTATAATCTTGACTTTTTCAAACTGCAGTATACCTTGAAAACGGTTATCGTCCCATGCTTAGCAACATCTTATGTTAAAGAAAAATTTCAGAATTGAGTATAAACCATGCCTTTAAATTTCACTACAGTAGTCCACATTTGAAGTGGATCAAAACGTTTCTTTAAAATCTACCAGTCACGACAAGAATGGGTGTTGTTCAATAGGTTTAGGACAACTTTAATGACTTTAATGAAATGTTTTAAATCACTTCAAATTTTGATCGCTTTTTAGCTGTTGCCATTGCCTATAAATAGTGCATTTGCAGAGCTAGTGTTTCTTTCCATACCGATATACTTCCGGTGAATGTTTAATGTGACTTTTTCAATTTTATACAGTTCCTTTTACAGCATCGATGTTGCAATCTGATTAAAAGTTGATCCGTTAAAAAAGACTTCAGCATTTATTTAGTTGTTTAAGCGTAAACCGAGAAAAAAAGCTGTTTACTCTCGTCCGTCAGGATCAGCAGACTAGCGCAGAAACACAACTGGAAATACTGGAGTAAAATACATTTAAATACTTTATAGACATAGCGCGGGAAAATGTAATTTAATGCAGCACTTCTTGCACATTCTGAGACTCACTTTATAGCATCATTTAGGCAGTGAAAATTGTTAATTTTTAAAAAAAAGAAAACAGACCTTAAACGCGGCAATTTGGTAATGGCGAACAGTTCACTGGAATCGTTTGACCCATGTTACTGACAAATTAAAAGTCATTCTGCATGCTTCTGCATATACCCTAATGTACTTAACCAGTTAACCAGTTTTTCATATTGAGGGATGTAAACAATAACAGTGGTCCTATTCTATTTGCTGTTTGACATTTTTAATTTCCATAGCTTCTGAGAATCAAAAAAGGTCCACATATTGATAAATAATGTTATGATAGCTGTTATTATGTTAAGATATGATTAAATTGCGTCTTGTTATGGTTGTGAAATAGTTCGACAACAAACTTCATGGGCCAATGACATCGTCACTTTGAAATGGTCTATAAAGGACTTTTGGAGTGGCATGGTAGCTCAGTGGTTAGCACGGTCTCCATACAGCTAGCAGGTTGCTGATTCGAGTCCCGACTGGGCAAGATGACATTTCTGTGTGGAGTTAGCATGTTCACCCTGTGTTCGTGTGGGTTTTCTTCGAGTGCTCCGGTCGAAAGACATGTGCTATAAGTGAATTGAATAAGCTACAGCAGCAAATGTGAGTGAATGTAAGTGTGTATGAGTGTTTTCCAGTACTGGTGTACTACGTCCAGTACCGCTGCTTAAAACAAATACTGAAATAGATGGCGGTTCATTCCGCAGTGATGACCCCTAATAAATAAGGGACTAAGCCGAAGGAAAATTAATGAAAAAAGGACTTTTGAAAAAGCTCCTTCCTCAACTTCATTGTGTGTGTGTGTGTGTGTCTGTGTGTGTCTGTGTGTGTCTGTGTGTGTCTGTGTGTGTCTGTGTGTGTCTGTGTGTGTGTGTGTGTGTGTGTGTTCTCTTCAAATGTTTCACAGTTGGCTTGTGTTTGTTTCTGCGTCGTTTTACCTTTCAGATGACAGAACGTTCCCAAACACCTCTTGTTTATTTTTCTTGTTTAGTTCTAGATCATCTTGTTCACCTCCCTCAAATCTTTGATGTCCCTATCAGCATTTTGATGTCAGTAATCTAAGAGAAACACTGGTTGCAGAGCAGTTGGGACAGAACTTGACGCTGTGCCAGTGTAGATGTGGTTTTAAAATGCAGTTCTCCCTGCCAGGGTTCATCGAGTCTGCTGAGAGTGGCATCCCACAGAAGCACCCTCATCTGCCAAGCTCTCCTCTCTGGAAGGCTCGCAAAACTCCCCCAAGTGAGATTCAGCATTCTTACTGAGGTCAGTGTGTGTTTGCGTTTTCATACGGTCAGCTGGAGAGTTTAGATGAGTTTAATGAAGACTTGATTTGAAGCTCATATTGTTGATTAATACAGTAAATAACTTATCAGTAGGCCCACACAGAACTGTGCGTACAGAAATCCGCAGATTTTTTTGCACATCATTGAGTGTATGTAGTTACTTGTGTAAATGTGTGTGCATTTACATTTGTTCAGTTTAAATTCAATAATAATATTGAATAATATGAAAATGTTCATATGATTTATTTACAATACAGTTTGTAAAGTAACATTTTCTTTATTTTTGTAGATATATTATTATATGAGAGACTTTCTTTGTTTTTTATATTTACCAAATATGTGGATCTAATTGGATTTGCATTGTAAACATTACATAAAAGTTTAAAAGTTATTACTTTTTATTTCATTTTTTAATTTTTTAGTTACTGTACAATTTTTTAATTTTTATTTTTACAAAATTTTCTGCAAAATAAGCAAAAAAATGTCCGCAGATTTTGTCTGGCCCTACTTATCAGTAGGCCCAAACGGAATCTGCGCACGCAGAATCCCGCAGATTTTTAAATCATTAATTCTGTTTATTTACTTGAGTAAATGTGTGTAAATCTATATTTTTTAGTTTTTAAATTAATTACAGTAATCTTATTGACTAATATGACGATGTTCATCTAATTTATGCAGTTTGTACAGTAATATTTTCTGTCTTTAAGTAGATATATGAGACTTGCTTCGTTTACCAAATAAAGTGAATTTGCTAATTGGATAAGCATTGTAAAAATTAAATAAGTTAAAAAGGTATTTTTTTTTTACATATTACGTTTTTAGTTACGATTCTCTCTGAATAACTCTGCAGAAATCTGCAGATTTTTAGCAAAATTCTCAGCAGAAATAGCAAAAAACGTCCAAAGATTCCGTCTGGCCCTACTTATGAGCTATACAATTACAAGGCAAAGACATGGTGTTTATAGCCTCACGATACTATAATATGTAGTAGTGAAAAAATAGCTCTCTGACCTTGTCTTTCTGAAGGTATTTTGTTTTGTAATGATGGTCAGTTGAAATTTGCACAACTTTATAATGTATGGTTTCAAAAAATAGCAAGAAATCGCAAGTAGTCAGTTAGCTTTATATATATTTTATTGATTGATATCTGTTAAAGCTTTTGCAACAACAAATAGATTACTTGAGTAATTAATAAGTAACAGTTATGGAAGAATTTGTATGTTTTAAAGGTCCCATAAAATTAAAATAGTTTTTTAGATGTTAGTATCAGTATGTACGTCTTTAAGGATATATATTAGCAAGTGTGGTTCAAAACTAGGGGTGTCAAATTAATTTTTTTTTTCGATGCAGCGCGATGTGGACGCAAACAATTCAGTATTGGTTCTGTAGTAATCATCAATCGGTTATTATGTACTGACGTTATTTATCACAGATTAGTTATATTGCGGTAGCTTACTATGGCGAGGGAGGAGACTGTGAGTATTTAAAACACTCCAACTACCTAAAAAGCAGATAGCTGTGCACAATTCACTGCTTGTTAGTTTGCTGGATAGTCTTTCACTGACAGGGAAGTACATCAGAACCGAGCTACGATTTAATGTAAGCTAAACTCTGTCTCTCTGTTGCCCCATTGACATGCTGGCGTGTTCGTGAGGTTACGTTTTATCTCCTTTCTTGGCTGTTAGAACAATACCGTTACTTGTGGATCTAAACACGAGCGTGTCTGCAGAGTGAGTTTTCTCCACCGCGTCGCCATCTATAATGGATCAGCTAATCGTCATGGCCGTTTAACATCAGTTGTCGTGTCTGTGTTTGCTAAACAGTGCCAGAGCTGACCGTTAAAGCCAATCGCAGTATTTTCTGTTGAGCTAGTGATCAATCATAGGAGTTTAACAACTCGCTCAAAAAGCAAGAAGGATAATATTTACATTTGTTTATTCGCTATATCTGCATGTATTTTTAGTTTTGTTATATACATTCAAAAAGAGTGTTTTCTTTGAGTAGGTAAAATTAAAGGTACAGTACATTTATCTGACAGCTTCTATTAAAGGGCAAAATTGTATTACAAATAATGTATAAATATATTTATAAAACTAAAATTTTAATACAGGAATTATTGTTGCTAAGTGAAATATCAAATTGTTTATGTAAAGGATCATCGATGCACCAAGATATCGAATTGAACCGAATCGATGACATAATCGTAACCAAACCGAACTGTGAGACCAGTGTTGGTTCACACCCCTATTCAAAACAGTGACACAATTCACGCTCAGAAGAATTAACTGTTATAAACATGACAAGCTTGTAGTTTGTCACCTTCGCCTTAGTGAATCAGCGGTTTTATTCACGTCACATACTTCAGTTGCTCAAATCATAACCAATCAAATGCTGTCTAGTATCTGACATGCCCCGCCCCTTCAAGACACTTTTTAAAGGGAGAGGAGTTGAATTATGTCCCACCCTCTCTTCGTGTTTCTGTTGAGATTACGTCAAACATCGAATATAAATGCATATTTTAAAGCACTTCACGGGACCTTTAACACAATTATGAACTAAAGATTTTGCTATTCTTAGGATTTATTGTTGCTTACATTTCTGTTTTTATGTATGATTTTTGCAAACTAATGGACAAAATTAAACTGTTGGAGGCTTTATGCAACAAACATTGTTTTGTACAAATGATTTTTCATTTTTTTTTCAAAGACAAAATGTGTGTGGTATATATGTTTTTTTTTTTATACACTACCTGACAGAAGTCTTGTCGTGGATCTCAGTTGTAAGAGCAACAAATAATAACTTGACTTCTACTTGATCATTTGGAAAAGTGGCAGAAGGTAGATTTTTTAAATGAATCATCTGTTGAACTGCATCCCGATCGTCACAAATACAACAGAAGACCTACTGGAACTTGCATGGACCCAAGATTCTCACTGAAATCAGTCATATTTGGTGAAGGAAAAATTATGGTTTGGGGTTACATTCAGTATGGGTGTGTGTGAGAAATCTGCAGAATGGATGGCAACATCAACAACATGAGGTATCAAGACATGTGTGCTACCCATTACATTGCAAAACAGAGGAGAGGGCAAATTCCTCAGGAGAATAGCGCTCCTTCTCATACTTCAGCCTCCACAACAAAGTTCCTGAAAGCAAAGAAGCTCAAGGGGCTCCAGGATTGACCTGCACTGTCACCAGACATGAACATTATTGAGCATGTGAGGTTATTGAAGATGAATCCAAAGGATCTTGATGAACTCTGGGAGTCCTGCAAGAACGCTTTCTTTGCCATTCCAGATGACTTTAATAATACGTTATTTGAGTCACTGCAGAGATGTATGGATGCAGTCCTCAAAGCTCATGGGAGTCATACACAATATTCATTCTTATTCCACTGCACCATGACTTTATATTCTATACTGTACATTGTTTCTGTTCAGTGACAAAACTTTTGTCTAAGCAAAGTCAGACCTTACTGTCCTAATTAAATAATTAAAAATCAAGGCCTCATCATATTTTATTTTGGTAAAATGAGCGTAATCTAAAGGCCTTTGCCTTTTTTTATAAATCACTTTTGATACCAAATGATCAACTAGAAGTCAAGTTATCATTTGTTGTTCCTAAAACTTGGATAGGCGACCAGCCTTTTGTCAGGTAATGTATATAGATCATATTTAATGGGCTGTATGGACATTTCAGAAACACTTGTTATTAGCGGTGCTTAAGTGAACTTCAGCCAGCCAATTATAGTTTGCGCTTGTGTTCATGTTTACATATGTGATTTAGTGCCCTGATATAATTGCAACAAAATACCTTTTTGCTGTTTAATTAGAAGTAAAATGAGTTTGCAGCGATACAGCTGTGCTTTCCTCTCAATAACAAAACTGAACACTTTATTATTAAGGTTTAATTGAAAGTATACACTGTAGAATATATAGAGAGACAGACAGACAGACTACGTGCAGCTATAGTTAAACTTTCAAATACAGTTAATATATTTATAGATATATATAGTAAATATAGTTATACTTTCAAATTAGCATTCAATTCTTTGACACGATGTTCTACAAATTAGCTGTGTTTAGTGTAAGCATACTCTACAGGCATTCATAGACAACCCAATAAGTCTGAGAAGCTCTCTCTCTCTCTCTCTCTCTCTCTCTCTTTTTATTTTTTTAACAAGCTGTTCAAATTGCCCATTTAAGTGCTGTAGGTTTTGCTGGTGTTGATGAAATGCGTGCGTGCGTGTGTGTGTGGTAAGTTCTGTGTCTGTGTTTCTAGGATGGCTTGTTTAGAGGCTGAGCTCAGTATGTACTGTTAGTCATTGTTTCCAGTCACTGACGGCTGTGTCTCTGAGCTTGAGCACAGGGATGACATGGAAACACAACTTGCTGATCTCTGAAAACAAGGTATTTTTTGATCTTATACATTTTCAATGACTTTTAGTTTTGCTCTTCCCCCTTTAAATACAGTTATATACAGTTATATTTCTGCCACCGTTGGAACTTTATTTTTGACATAACCATACTAGCCTATATTTTGCAAATAGCAGCGGATAAGTAGGGTAAATATTAGTCTTTTGAAAGAAATTAATATATATTGAGGATACATCAAAGTAATCAAAGTGGCAGCAAAGGCAAAAATAAAAGAGTCCTAAAAATTTTTGTGGGTTCTAAGTATTAAGCAGCACAACTTTTTGCTGCATTGGTAATAATATAACTTTTTTTTTTTGACAGAAATTTAGGATTTCTGACGGATCATATGACATTGAAGACTGCTGAAAATTCAGCTTAGTCACCACTAGAAAAAGCTGTACTATATATTGAAAGACATCTGTAAAAATATCCACTCACCGGCCACTATATTAGGTACACCTTACTAGTACAGGGTTGGACCTTCTTTTGCCTTCAGAACTGCCTTAATCCTTTGTGGGATAGATTCAACAAGGTACTGAAAATATTCCTCAGATATTTTTGTCCATATTGACATGATAGCATCACACAGTTTATGCAGATTTGTCGGCTGCACATCAATAATGCAAATCTACCATTGCACCACAACTCTATTGGATTGAAATCTGATGACTGTGGAGGCCATTTAAGTACAGTGAACCCATTGTCATGTTCAAGAAACCAGTCTGAGAAGATTCACACTTTATGACATGGTAGAAGTAGCCATCAGAAGATGGGTACACTGGTTATAAAGGGATGGACCTGGTCGGCAACAATACATCAATACTAGGCTGTGGCGTTGACACAATGCTCAATTGGTACTAATGAGCCCAAAGTGTGCCAAGAAAAAAACACCCCCCAATATTCCCCGCTCACTGCATATTTTTTCTTTTTCGGATCATTCTAGAGATGGTTGTGTGTGAAAATCCCAGTAGATCAGCAGTTTCTAAAATACTCAGACCAGCTCATCTGGAACCAACAACCATGTCACGTTCAAATTCACTTAAATATCCTTTCTTCCCCGTTTTGATGCTCAGTTTGAACTGCGGCAAATTGCCTTGACCATGGCTGCGTCTGAAACTGCCTATTACTCAGTAGGTACTGCATTTGAATTTAAATGTACTACTCAGCCATTAGAAAAGTACGTTCTATACAGTATGAATGTGAAAAGTATGAACGGAGTTCAGACCTTCTACATCCGCCATTTTGTCATGGTCACGTGACCTACCTGCGTCAATTGCGTCGCTTTACTCCCATTCATGAATTCTCTCGCGGAGCATCATGGGATAGTGCAGCATGTTGGGGATGCACACTCCAGAATCTCGCCGGAAGTAGTAAGTCATCCGGGTACTTCTCGCATACTGATTTTTAAATTCTCTGAATTCGGACGTACTACTCAGCTCGCATACTGTTTTTAGCGTACTATATAGTATGGAAGTATGCGGTTTCGGACACAGCCCATGTCTACATGCCTAAATGCATTGCTGCCATGTGATTAGCTGATTAGAAATTTGCGTTAACAAGCAGTTGGACAGGTGTACCTAATAAAGTGGCCTTTGAGTGCATATATTTATTCAATTTTTTGGACAAAAATTGAATATTCTTAAAAAAAAAAGAATCTTACCAACCCCAAACATTAAACTGTATTGTGAACTTGGATCAAGTCAAATTATTTTCTATTGCTTATTTTGAAAGATTTTTTGACTTTGTGATTGGGTTTATGATTTCATCCTAATGAATAATAAAATAGCCACAAATTTAGTAGATTTACATAATTTAAGGGAATATCTTAGTAGTTTTGGAGTAAAAAAAATCCAATAACTATAGTAAACAGTGTTTTTCTGACTCTGTTCTTTGCTCCTGCTTTATTTATAACTTTTTTTTAGCAACATGGTGTCTAAAGTCACTTAATATTAAAATCTTGCTTGTTAAAATGTTTTAAAAAAACAATATTGCCAGTTAAAAATTATGGTAGAAGATTAGACATCCCTAAAACATCCATATATTATGCTGAAACACCATTCCTATTTGTTCCTTTCTTCGTTGTAATTTGCATTGGTATAATTAAACACTTGCCTTTAGCAACCACTAAATATAAACTTTGACCTAATAGTCAACCTCGCTTGTGATTATTTATAGACATTTGAGCACACTGCCTTATGATTGTAAGCAGTTCTTGAATTGGGAAATCATATTAACTGAGTGACTTGTTTTGACTGCAGTTGTACAGTTTTGACTTGATTCTGTGTGTAGGCCGAGCAGTAAGCTAAATCAGGGACGTGGAAGGGTGAAAGCAGGCCATGTCACGGGTTCCCACCCCCCCTCCACCGGGGGAAATGACATCCGGACCTGTGGCGGAGAGCTGGTGTTACACACAGGTAAGAGAACAAGAGACTGGCGCTACGTGTACTTGCATTTCAATAGTGTTTTAAAGTGAAATCAGCCTTTCAATATTGCCAATGTGTGTCATAAAACATCTCCATCCACTAGGGGTGTAACAAAACACTCAGCTCACGATACAGTGTGTATCATGAAATGTATCACGATATTTGGAATAAAAAGTGAAAATAAAATTGAAATGCAATAAAAGATTTATTTAAAAAAATACCAAGTAAACAGTTTTCAATGTATTTGTTTTGTTTCAACTTCTTTTATTTAAACTGAACCTACTTTAAAAAAAAAAAACAAATTAAATAGGCCTGTCTCTTGAAAATAAAATAATTTTCAACATAACAAAATATTTTTGATTGCAAAGCTTTGACACCAAATAATCATGCATTCTTAATTGTTGAAGGTTTTTCCTGTTGGTAAGAGGTTAACTAATTTTTCCTGTTGATCATGGGTTGGCAACTTTGAACCTTTAGATAGGCCTCTGCAAAAACGTCTGTTATATGGAGTTCTACAGAGTGTAACAGCAAATTATAGTGTGCATAAGTACACTTAAAATGTTGTGAGAGCTGAGCTGCTTATTTAGATTTACATAGATAGTCGTGTGTGTGTGTAAGAGTGTGAGACTTTGCACACTTACCTTGATATGTTATCCATATATCTCAATAAAAAAGCCAGAAACCAAGCTGTTTTGATTATGATGTTCAACAGCAAAAATGATCAATTGTACCCCCCCTCTCCCCCCAACAGGGAAAACCAGCAAGAATCAAGAATGCATGATTATATGCTGTCATGGCTTTGTAACGAAACCATCTCATTATAATGGAAGTCAGTGGGGCAAAAACAGCCACAAACCTAATGAAAGGGTAGTAAATTTGCCCAGTGCAATGACTTTTAAAAAAATTTCAAAGCATTTTTGCTAAATTTGTGTTAAAATAAAATTATCATTAAAATCATTCCATTTGCTGAAACACAGAGACAGTTGCTGTCAAATTATGAATTACCTCAGAATGGATGGAAACATCTCCAAATGCACACAAGAGTTAAATCTGATTCTACTCTTTGGCTTTTAACAGCATATGATATTCTTTGTTTGTTGCTGTATGTTTGTTGTATATGTCTTTTTGTTTTTGATTGTGTATGCTTTTATAGCACTTTGGTAAACACTTGTTGTTTCTCAAAAAGCAAAACAGACTAGTGTTAAGAGCCTGAGCGAGTAGAAAATGGATATTTCTTATCTGAGAGCGTGACTCATGAATATCTTTTTTTTCTGTTGTTATTCTTTTAATCTGCAGGTGAAAGTTGTAAAATTTTCTTATATGTGGACGATTAACAACTTCAGCTTCTGTCGGGAGGAGATGGGAGAAGTCGTGAGGAGCTCAACCTTCTCTTCAGGCCCCAACGACAAGATGAAATGGTGTGTTTCGCTGCGTTCAGAGTGTTGTCAAGTGGCCTCTTAAGTCCTCTCTCTAATGCTGTCAATCCTGCCCTACCAAACACACTCGCAGACACGCTCAAATACAGGCTTGACCTTTCCAAATATCATTGTCTGTGGATCCACAGCGGCCCATGTTGATTTAGGTTGGGTTCACTCTGAAATCTTCTGGGACGCATTTTGGAGATGGCAAAAGATGTTTTACACTGACAACTGATTCATTGATTTTATGATGAATCCTAGTGTCCAATAAAGTTCAGACAATATCTAATATTTTTGCTCACAGTCTTGCCGCAGTGTCTTGTGCAGTCCTTAAAAAATGATAGATACAGTGCTCAAGATATACAAATATCTCATTGACATTAATGCTTTCTACAGGAAACTTTACAATGTTATACAGTTAAAGTCAGAATTATTACCCCCTCCCGCCCTTTAATTAATTAATTATTATTATTTTTTTATTTCTAAATATTTCCCAAATTATGTTTAACATAGTAAGGAAATGTTCACAGTATGTCTTATAATATTTTTTCTTCTGGAGAAAGTCTTATTAGTTTTATTTCAGCTAGAATAAAACCAGTTTTCAATTATTTAAAAAACATTTTAAGGTCAATATTATTAGCCACTTTGAGCTATATATATTTTTTCGAAAGTTTACAGAACAAACCATTGTTATACAATAACTTGCCTAATTACCCTAACCTGCCTAGTTAACCTAGGTAAGCCTTTAAGGTCATTAGATTAATCAGTACTGAAGGCAAATTTGGAGCTAATCTTACAAAATAACATATGATAGCAGTCCAAAATGAGTACACCTAAGTTTATATGCTGGGGGAAAAATATATTAAATAAAAGATGTAAAGAGTAAATTTCAAGAGAAACAAAAAAATTATTTTTTCCAATATTTTGCATGAATTTGAATGCATTATCTTTCTATTTCTAAAGATAAAATAATATTTTAAAAATAGACCTGTTTAATAAATCTGTTTTTTTTTTCAAATACACCAAAATACATGACCTATATTCACTGAGAAATGGATAAAAATTCAAATTTTTTATGTTGAGCAGATAGATGGATGGACAGATGGATAGACGGATGAACGGATTAATAGACAGATGGATGGACAGATAGATAGACAGACAGATGGATACATAGTTGGACGGATGGACAGAGACAGATAGACAGATGGATGGATGGATGGATGGATAGATAGATTGATAGATATATTGATTAACAGATAGACAGACAGATAGATGGATGTACAGATTAATAGATGGACAGATTGAGAGAAATATGGATAGAGAGATAGATGAATAGGTAGATGGATTAACAGATGAATAGATTGATGGATATAAATATGATCTAGCTTTATGATTTTCTTTTCTGATAGATGTTTTCTTATTCTTTTTAAGTGTCTGTATATATTTATGTCAGTAGTGTTTTTAGTAGTGTAGTTGTTTTTATGATTTTTCACACAAATCTTTTATTTCATATTTTAGTCAGTTATATTTGAGTTATTTTAGAAATGAAATGTTGTTTTACATACTATAGCTTTTTTTTTTGTCTGCAGGTGTTTGCGAGTGAACCCAAAGGGTCTGGATGACGAGAGTAAAGATTACCTCTCACTGTATTTACTGCTTGTCAGCTGCCCAAAAAGCGAAGTAAGAGCAAAGTTCAAGTTTTCTTTACTGAACGCCAAAAGAGAAGAAACTAAAGCCATGGGTAAGACTTTCCTGGACATTCAGAGAATTGAATTTGGTTATATGGAAAAAGCCGTTTTAATCTTATTCGTGCATCAATTCTCAGAAAGCCAAAGAGCCTACCGCTTCGTCCAGGGAAAGGATTGGGGCTTCAAGAAGTTCATTAGGAGAGACTTCTTGCTGGATGAAGCAAACGGACTTCTTCCTGATGACAAGCTCACTCTGTTCTGTGAGGTAATGGATTGTTTCATGTAAACTTGGGCGATGGCTACATTAGTGTGCTATTGTTTTAAAATCCACCACTTTTAGTATTATTATTAGTTGTAGTAGTAATAGTAGCAGTAGTATTAGCAGTAATATTATTATTATTATTAGTAGTAGTAGTAGTTGTAGTAGTAGTAGTAATTATAATAGTAGTAGTTGTAGTGGTTATAATAATAGCAACAGCAGTAGTAGTAACAGTAGTAGTTGTAATAACAACAATAGTAGTAGTTGTAATAGTAATAGTATTAGTAGTAGTAGTAATAACTAGCAGTAGTTGTAGTAGTTATAATAATAGTAGTAGTAGAAGTAATAGTAGTAGTTGTAGTAATAGTAGTATTATTATTAGTAGTAGTTGTAGTAGTTATGGTGGTAGTAGTAGTCAGTAATAGTATTAGTTGTAGTAGTTATAATAATAATAATAATAATAATAATAGCAATAGTAGTAGTGGTAGTAGCAGTAGTAGCCATAGTAATAGTATTATTATGAGTAGTAGTTGTAGTGGTTATAATAATAGTAGTAGTAGGAATAGTAGTAGTAGTCGTAGTAATAGTATTAGTAGTAGAAGTTGTAGTAGTTATAATAATAATAATAATAGTAGTAGTGGTAGTAGCAGCAGCAATAGTAGTAGTCATAGTAAGAGTATTATTAGTAGTAGTTGTAGTGGTTATAATAATAGTAGTAGTAGTCTTAGTAAGAGTATTATTAGTAGTAGTTGTAGTGGTTATAATAATAGTAGTAGTAGTCGTAGTAATAGTATTAGTAGTAGAAGTTGTAGTAGTTATAATAATAATAATAATAGTAGTAGTGGTAGTAGCAGCAGCAATAGTAGTAGTAGTCATAGTAAGAGTATTATTAGTAGTAGTTGTAGTGGTTATAATAATAGTAGTAGTAGTCGTAGTAAGAGTATTATTAGTAGTAGTTGTAGTGGTTATAATAATAGTAGTAGTAGTCGTAGTAATAGTATTAGTAGTTGTAGTTGTTATAATAGTAGTAGTAGTAGCAGCAGCAGCAGTAGTAGTCTTAGTAATACTTTTTTTATTAGTAGTAGTTGTAGTGGGTATAATAACAGTAGTAGTAATAATAGTAGTAGTAGTTATAATAGTAGTAGTATTGCAGTAGTAGTAGTAATAATAATTGAATTAATTTTTGGTAGATGTTTATATGCCTAGTATCCATACTCGACCTGTTTTTTTTTCCTTATTTTCTGATTTGTTTACTTTTTATTTTAGAAATTTATTTTTAAATTCATTCATTAATTTCATGTTATTATTTTGAATACTGGTAAAAATGAGAACATTTACTGTCAACTCGAACCTGACATTTAAAAATAGACGTGTGCTGTTTATGACATTATTACAGTCAGATTTGTATTCAGTAACAGTGCACGATTTTGTACTATAATTAAACAATCACTAATATTTTATGATTTTATCTTGTTCTGTTCTGAATACAGGTACCATTTAAAGGCTTTTAACTGTCAACTTAAATGTGACACTTCTTTTTCATCGCAATTAATGCTTGTTTTTGACAACTTTCTATTTTTATGTGTAGGCTACAGTTTTGTATTATACGTTTATACTTTTCAGTTGTGTAGTGTCGTTTTTTTCAGAAACTCTGGAAATCTTAGGGTCGTCTTAATTTTCTAATGCTGTAATAAAAGGAAAGTGTACCCTGAAAGTTTAGCCTCAGAAACATCCTTGCTGACTTGTTTGTTTAGGTGAGCGTGGTTCAAGACTCTGTGAACATCTCTGGCCAGTCGAACACAAACATGCTGAAAGTCCCCGAGTGCCAGCTTTCAGATGATCTGGGCAATCTGTGGGAAGGCTCCAGGTTCACTGACTGCAGTCTGTTTGTTGGAGGACAAGAGTTCAAAGCGCACAAATCCATCCTGGCAGGTGAGTTCAGTCACCGACAGATGCTCGGGGTCCACAGATTTTTGCCTCTCTAAAAAAGACAAGCTGCACAGACAACAATGGAGAACGTTCAGTCAAATGATAATGAGGCACATGATGAATTTGGCTGCACTTTACACACATGATTCACTCCAAACTGATGATTCATGTCTGCTTTCACAGCGAGGTCGCCAGTATTCAATGCCATGTTTGAACACAAAATGGAGGAGAGTAAAAAAGTGAGTGATAAGATACAGTTAATCTCCATTCTTTACTATTACTGTTTACTGCGTTATGGATTGATGTATGGATGGATAGATATGGATGGATGGACAGATAAGCTGCAATCAATACTAGGATATTTTGTACAATTTTAAATCAGATGTTATTTCTGTCAATACACAAACCATATTCTCCACTCTTTCGCAGAACCGTGTAGACATCAGTGACGTAGAGCCAGATGTGTTTCGGGAAATGATGGTATTTATTTACACTGGTAAAGCTCCCAACCTGGAGAAAATGGCCGACAACCTGTTAGCTGCCGCAGACAAGGTTAGTGACTCTGAAGAGCTGCGGTTTTCTTCTTGTTTCTGCTGTCTGTGGTAGACCTGTAGTGTATTGTGTGTGTTTTCAGTACGCTCTGGAGAGACTGAAGGTATTGTGTGAGGAGGCACTGTGTAATAGTCTGTCTGTGGAGAACGTGGCTGATGTCCTCATTCTGGCGGATCTGCACAGCGCAGAGCAGCTCAAAGCACAAGCCATAGACTTCATCAACCGGCAAGTACACACTCGTGCTCACAAACTGAAAAAACAATCTTTTGTTCACTGGGGCTGGGCTGTGATATAGTCAATCAACAGAGATTGTTTAGTGTAGTTCATTTGCAAACATCTCCATGTGCAATACCACAATGTTATACATGCTGTATATATCCATTAGAGCAGGGGTTTTCAAACTGTGGGTCGCGACCCACTACATTTACATTTTACATTTAGTCATTTAACAGACGCTTTTATCCAAATCGACTTACAAATGAGGACAAGGAAGCAATTTACACAACTATAAGAGCAACAATGAATAAGTGCTGTAGGCAAGTTTCAGGTCTGTAAAGTCTAAGAAGGAAAGTATTAGTAAAGTTTTTTTTTTTTTTTTTTTTTGAGTACAGTTAGTGGTATATCCAGAGAGGCAATTGCAGATTAGGAAGTGAAGTGGAGACTAAATAGTGAGTTTTTAGTCGTTTTTTGAAGACAGCGAGTGACTCTGCCGTTCTGATGCAGTTAGGGAGTTCATTCCACCAACTTGGCAGATTGAATGCGAGAGTTTGGGAAAGTGATTTCTTCCCTCTTTGGGATGGAACCACGAGGCGACGTTCATTCACAGAACGCAAGTTTCTGGAGGGCACATAGATCTGCAGAAGTGAGAGCAGATAAGAAGGGGCGCAGCCAGAAATCGCTTTGTAAGCAAACATCAGAGCTTTGAATTTGATGCGAGCAGCAACTGGCAGCCAGTGCAAACGGATGAGCAGTGGACTGACATGTGCTCTTTTAGGTTCATTAAAGACCAATCGTGCTGCTGCATTCTGGAGCAGCTGAAGAGGCTTGATAGAGTTAGCTAAAGCCCCACTAGTAGAGAGTTGCAGTAATCCAGTTTGGAGAGAACAAGAGCTAGTGGGTCGCACAGTGAACAAAGGTGGGTCGCGCAATGTCACATAGCTGCAGCTATATTTACAATGCGGTGAATCAAAACCAGTACGATTGACGGCAATAACTTAAAAGCCTCTTACCCTAAAAAGATCTAACGTGTGTTTCCTACCAAAAGACAAAGCTGGTTATGTTTCACAGCTGTCTTTTTCTTTTTTTCGCTCGACATTAAGAGCACTGCTCCGTTTGAGCTCTCGCAATCTGCGTTTAGCCGGTAGAGCTCGCGCAGAGCGGAGCTCTCAGTAAGGGGCCGTCGGAAAAGTGCTTTTTTTTTTTTTTTTTTGCGCTCCGTCCTGCGTGTTTTATTTTAAACACTACTAATTATCTCTTAAATGAGCACAAACAGTTATAAAGTAGTCGAATGCTTCTTTATAGATCTGTGCATTCTTACATTAACACCTCTGTTATCAAACAAAACACAATGGGAGATTCATTTGCTGCTCTTCACTAAATATCTATAGTAACTTTTATCAATATTCAAATACAATTAAAAGTGAAATAGATTTTATAGCTTTATTTAATTTCTGGATAGGCCATTGATTTTAATAGGCTAAACCTTTTATTTTATTGTCAATATTTTCTAATGTTTGCTATGTATTCTATCAATTAAAGCTATTTGATGTCCCATATTTTTTACATCCCAACGTTGACAGAATGCTAATCAATAAATAGCAATAATGCTATCTGTTAGTTTTAACGTCAGCTAATGTTATGGAAGGGCATAGATGTTATGGAAAATTGTAATAGTAATGTAACTACCCCCATCATTCCTTCCTCAAGCAAATGTGTAAATATTAGATCTATTCAGCAATAATGTTAATTGCATTGGCATATTTATCTGACGTATTCCCAGCTTGTAGTAGTCGATCAAAAAGCTATTTAGTTTCTCATGACTATACACTAGCTGTGGAATTTACTGTGATGTGACGGGGCTCGATCATAATCCAGGGGCTTGATCAAAGGTTGATCAAATTCTCTCAGAAAAAAAGAAGAGTATCTTTTTCAACAAAAAACAGTTACAGCCAGCATCCCACCAAAAGCACTTCGAGCCTCATTTTGTGCATATCAAATCGCAAAATCCAAAAAGCCGCACACCATATATTTTTGACTGCTTTGAATGGATACTTTTATTTTTTACCCATTTTTCCATAATAAAATATTATGGTGGGTCTTAAGATTGAATTACTTGCCTAGGTGGGTCCCGGAATAAAAAAGTTTGGGAATCCCTGCATTAGAGCAGCAAAGAAACATGGGTGAATGCAAAGAGAGAAAAAGTCAAAATGCAGAGGATTGGTGTAAATAGTTGGTCACTTCTAAAGTGAAAGTGTTTAGACACATTATCTGTGTATAATGACAGCAGCATAACAATACACCGTGTGGTTACTATTAATAAAAGATCTAAACAGTGGTGCCCAACCATCAGGCCGCGGACTGGTAGCGGTCTGTGGATCAGTTGGTACCGGGCCGCACAAAACATCATTAAGTATTGGCATTTTATTTATTCTGAATATCTGAATGAGTCTGAATGAACTTTTATTTTGAAAAATGACCACATTCTCTCGATTACATCTCGGTCACTCGAGCGCCCAAATTTAACCCACAATCAGCAAAAGGAGCTAGAAACAGATGTCTTTGGTAAAGGGAAAAGGCAGAGGGAAGGACCCGCAAACAGCCAAGAAATAGATCCACATTTGTCATCAAATCAGGTGAATTCAGCATGTCTGTGCAAGAAGATCAACTGCTGGAGATCGCAAATGAAAGCGGCCGTTTAGGGCCTGTTTGCATACCACGTCTTTTCTAGAGTTCGCAAGTTTCTTATTTCCAATGAAGGTGCTCGGCTTGCGCTTCCAGACGCACCCAGTTGAAAGAATGCCTCAAGCATTGCGAGTCACGTGAGAAGAACTGAACAAACCGACTCCATCTTTTGGTACTCTTTCTCGTGTTAGGTACCCTTTCGAAAGGGTGCCGAAAAATTGGTATCCGCACAAAAGCTTAAAAGCTTTTTGAACCTTTTGCTGACAGCGATGAATGTTTGCGCCTGACAACAGGTTTTGATCTTTGGTTTCATTTTATAATACTGCACTTTTTTCTACAAAAAGTTTGAACTTTGAGAGTGTTAATGCCTGTAAATGTTAATGCCTGTCTGAGAAAAGTGTGTAGTGAGGGGTTTTACAGCCTTCAAACATCTATAATAATTGTGATGAATATAGCCGACTACTTTGCAGATTTCGCCTATTGCAGGTTATTTTTAAGATCGTAACTGCCGTGATTAACGAGGGACCACTGTATTTATATAAAAAATCATCCTGTTATATTGATATTAAGGTTGAAGGGTCGAAAGAACTGTTTGTGAACTGTAATGGAGTTTGACTGTAATGTGAACACAAACACACACCTCCTAAACTAGAAGCAGGATTTCTTGAACCAGGACTAAATGTGCCATTTTTACCAGAAGAACCAAACTGAACACTCTTAGTTTTGATTTTTTTGTGGGACAGAGGATTGGTTGATGAATGTTCTGATGGTGACGGGTGTAGCTGCAGTGCATGTTGGGATATCTTTCTAACGTTTGCTCTGTTCTCTCCTCAGATGCAGCGTTCTTCGACAGCTCGGCTGTAAAGATGGCAAGAACTGGAATAGCAAGTACGTGTGCCAACATACTACCATCTCCCACAGTCCTCTGCAAATAAAAATCATGTCTGCGTTTAACAGGAACTCTAGTTTGCACAGCAATTCTGTGACTAAGACCTGCGACGCTACATGAGTCATAGCACAGTTTGGGCATACTTTATTTATTTAGTTTTAGTTTAACGATCCTTTTGATATGCAAACATTTTTTTTAAATTATATTATTAATATAATAATATTATTATTATTAATTGTATTAGTATTATCTTCGAAAGAAAAAACATGTATTCGATTATATTTATTATTATATATTATATATCAATTTATATTATATTATAGTATTTTACATTATATTATATAATTTTATTTTATATTAGATTATAATCCATGTGTCTGGCACAGTTTGAGGATTTTAAAAAAAAAATATTTGTGCAAATTTACTTTTATGCAAAACTTTATTTTATATTATTAATAAAATAAAGCTGATTTCAAATTATATATATATATATATATATATATATATATATATATATATATATATATAAATAGATTTTTTTAATAAAATAGTTATTGTTATTATTATACATTTTATTATTACTATAATTATCTTTGAAAGAAAACATACATGTATTAGATTATATTTTATTATATATTTTATATTATAATTTATGCGTCTGACACAGCTTGAGTATTTTTTTGTAAATATATTTTTGCATATTTACCTTTTTATGAAGGCAAAATTGTATTATTATTTTATATTATTAATAAAATAATAATAATAATTAATTTTATTATTATTATCTTTAAAAGAAAACATTATATTATATTACATTATATTATATCATATTATAACCCATGCGTCTATGGCACACTGTAAGAATGTTTAAAAAAGCACATTTAAGTTTATAAAACGAAGACTATACAGTATTATTTTACATTTGATTATTCAATGACTGTCTACCTAAATACAGTTTGACTCGACAGAAAACAGTCTAACATTGTTCATTTCCTTGGCATATTTTTCTTTGTTGAATGTATCTGTGCTTGTAGATGGTTTATTATATTGATGCACTTCCCTACAGATTCTTCCCAATCAATCTAAAATCATAGACTCTTAACAAACGTTTATAATATAGAAGACAACACTTATAAAAGATTTACTCATCTAGTGAAATTTTATACATATCGCAATATATATCGCATAAAAAATTGCAATGTGTCATTTTTTTTAATATCGTGCAGCCCAAATATATTGTATTTTATTTTATTTTAGTCCATACATCTATGGCTTAAGGATTTAAAAAATATATATTTGTGGGTGTTGCTTTTTTTATAATATTTTTTTTATCAGTATTATATTATTGATAAAATAATAATTATTATTATTAGGGTATTTTGTATTATTATTTTTTTAAGGAACTGTATTGTATTATAACATATTCAATTATATTATATTATATTATATTATATTATATTATATTATATTATATTATATTATAATCCATGCGTCTGGCACAGCTTGATAATGTTTTTGTAAATATATCTTTGCATATTTGCCTTTTTAATGCAAGCAAACTTGTATTATTATTTGAATTATTAATAAAGTAAATATTATTATTATTATCTTTGAAAGGACATACATGTATTGTATTTTATTATAATCCATGCACCTATGGCTTGAGAATATTTGAAAAATATTTGTGCATCTTCCTATTTTATGCAAACAAAATTTTATTATTATTAATATTATTATTTTCTTTGATAGAAAACATTCATGTGTTGTGTTTTATTTTATTATTATATAATATTATATTATATTATAATCAATGCGTCTATAGCACAGCTTGAGGATTTAAAAAAAATATAAATTTGTGCATAGGTTTGTGTTCCTTTTTTTCATGCAAACAATTTTATTATTATTTTATATTATTAATAAAATAATAATTATTATTATCATATTTGGAAAAAACATGTACTTTATTTCATTATAATCCATGCGTTTATGGCATAGCTTAAGGATTATAAAAAGTAAATTTGTACAATATATATTTTTTAAATGCAAGCAAAATTGCATTATTATTATATATTATTAATAAAATAAATATTAGTAATATTCTTCTTATTATTTTTACTATTATCTTTGAAAGAACACATACATACATGTATTGTATCAATTATTTTTGTTTTACACAACCAAATTTAAGCATTTAGTTTATTATGAATATGAATATTATTATGTTTTTAGGTGCCTTCCAGGGAAATAGAAATATACAATTTATATTTATTTGTTATTTTTATTATTATATGTATTTATTTATTTATGGTAAAGCTGCATTTTCAGCATCATTGTGTCAGTCTTCAGTGTCAATCATTTATTAGTCTTTGTTATAAAACGGCAGTAAATTGTCTGTTGATTTGCACATTACTATGCAGAATGTGTGAGAATGTTTATTTTGATAAACCTCCTGCCACAGATCCAGCAGATAAAGCTTAATCCCCGATTATTTCCCGTCAGTGTGACCAGTGTCATGTCATTTACACATGGTAACCTTGAGTCTTGTTTTTTGACAGTCACGCCGCAGACATAATGGAAACGGCAGGCTGGAAAGCCATGATTCAATCCCATCCTCACTTAGTAGCCGAGGCGTTCCGCGCTCTGGCTTCAGCCCAGTGCACACCATTCGGCCTGCCTCGAAAACGCCTAAAACAATCCTGACCTCCGTCCTCACAGACTGCTTAAAAACCAAACGCATGAGGAGGCAAAAGCGACCCTTCTTCCCCTCCGTTTTCACTCGCCCGTCGCCCCTTCCAGAGACACGATGGAGGAGCTCGTTCAATCCGAAGAAATGGACTTCGCCATAATGTTTACTACGAGTGGCATCGGAGAAAAGGCCTTAAAGGATCCGCCTGCTGCGACTGATCCCAGACCTGTCTGGATTGCACTAGCTCCCACATAATGCAGTAGTTTTAACATGGTGGTGTTTAGGACCTTGTACGTTACGTGTTGTTGAGGAGGGCGAAGGTTTGCGTTCGCCCTTTTTGTGAACTCATGGTCTGATTTTTTTCACCAAACACTCACTAGTCGCAAAGCCACACACACGCATCGAGTGCAGAGACACTGACACTTTTAAAGTGTTGACGTTGTCGGCAGAATGTCGCTTTGTATGTTTATCGTCGTTAAAAAAAACGAAGTATTAACTGAGGTCGCGCTGTTGGATGCTTGGTGAAAAGAGTTTCACGTCGAGTATGACACGAAAGAAAACAAGCGGCGGAAGATGTCGATATTTTGCACCAACTTATATTATTGGTAAATATGAAGATTTGTTTACCGTGCTGTTTACAGAAATTGTTTTCCCTTTTTTTTCCGCACAAGAGTTAGTTCGGACTTTTAGTTGGACTTATTTTCCATGGTTTAACGTACTCTGTGATCTGGAGAGTTCTTTGTGTTTGGGGGAAGAAAAAAATGTATTGTGGTTCAAAAGAACTTTGGTTTATTGCTTTGGAAATAAAACTGGTCAAAACTAACAAAGTTGTGTGTATAACTATTTAAAAAAAAAACACTTTTATTTTCAAGTGGTGATCAATTATGCTGAAATAATACTTAGTTAATTAAAGCACTTTAGTCAAGAACTTCTCCAAGTACCATTTCAGGTTTAGCTAGTGACTAATAAAGCCCACGTAAACCAGAAATTGCCTTTTTTAGTATATTGATGCTCCAGCCTGATCTCACAAGAAAACGTAAGTATTTTACATTTTGTCAGTTTAGTGTTCGTCGTTCGAGTTCAGTCATACGAAAATGTACAATTTTAAAAAGGAGATGTGGGACCTAACCCTGACTCTAAATCCAATCGTTAGGCATGTGACAAGATCTCTGGCTACGAGACTTAATCGTGTTGAGATTTCTCGTCGAGGTTGTATTGTAAGTTGTGATGTTAGGATGGAGCGTGAAGGCTGATTTTACTTCTGCGTCAAGCTTACGCGTATTCTTTGGCACAGCCTACGCGTGGATGCATAGCCGTCGCTGATGCGCACCTCTCAAAAAATGTAACTAGACGCTGCAACGGTGCGTAACACAAGCTCTGTGATTGGTCGGCTTAGTGAGATCCATGTAGAAAAGAACCATAGTGATCGTAACCGTGGAATTTGTTCTATGATAATAAACAGAACATGTTTGCACTAACAGGACTTCAATTTCAGATTTGGATTTTTTGTGTGTGTGTGTCATAGAAATTAGGATATTGGTGCGTGCTCTTTTATATGCTAATGATCTTAATTAGGGGGAGTTTACAAATTATAAATGCCACATCTGAAAGTTCACCCCAGAAATTGCACTTTTTGAATACATTTTAGAAATGAATCTGAATGTTTCCCCTCTTTTTTTTTTTTTTTTAGTTAGTTACACTCGAGTTTGAGCATGTGCAATTCTGTCGTTTGGTGGCATGATTAAACAAGATGATTAGACATTTAAAAAAAAGCGAGCGATTGGTCTATATTTTAAACTTCTGTACAGAGAGGTCATGTTTTGATCTTCAGTTGGTCTTACAGAGCCATGTGATGCGATTTCGCAGGTCAGAGTTCACCAAGCTTGAACTTTTCAACACCATAAACTGCCACGCTTGACACACATGCTGCGTTTCCGGTCTGCTGCATTCGCGTGTGTATGAATAGAAGTCTATAGAGAGAAAAGTGCAGCGTGACCACGGCTTTAAAGATTTACTAAATTTAATTTAGTTTACCTTAATCTAAAATCAGTTGTCCACTATTTGTTTATTTATATATATATATATATATATATATATATATATATATATATGCCTAAAATATTGGTTATCAGCTTCCAAAAATAATTATTAGTTTCTGACAAAAAAAATAAAATAAAAATGTAGTCAGTGTTGGCCATCTCTAATTCACGTTTTATATTCTTTCATTTTTAAATCACCGTTTTCATGATCAACGTCAACGTTTTGTTTTTGTTTTCTTCCCAATCGACATATATAAATAAATAGTATAATGTAGGTAGTTTTATGTACATCGCCAAAGGACAGTGAGACGTTGTGAAGGCTCCACATTCTCTTTAGCTTCAGAAGTCATTTAAATGAACTTTTAAAAATCTTCCCTTTTAGTCTTTAAACATCTGGAGACGACTTAAGCCGAGATCAAAGCCAGCGAGCAGCAAATCCTCAAACGCTCTGTTCATCAAACCATGAGATTACACAGACTCGCACCGACATTATATGTACACTTTTCACTTCAGAGTCTGAGTACACGATCAGACCTTCGCAAATGAAACGCATCATCCTGCATATGACAATGTTTCCTTTTTTCACCATTCACAGAGGTTAAACTGGCTGATCCGTAATGAGATTCACCGGAGGAATACTGAGGCTTTTAAGACAATTTTGTAACAAACGCAGAGCAGATTTGACTTTGTTTGTCTGAAGCACAGTTTGTCTTTGTTCACAGCATCTGGGAGAGGATTTCTAAAGTTGTGAAGCCACAAATCTGCTGACACTCTTTGTAGTCAATGAGAGAAAACACAAGGGAGCATTCTGGAAACTCAAATCTCATCTTTTTTTTTTTAATAACCAAAACAAAATACAAAAGAACTGAGGACACAGTGGAGCACATTATGGCTTCAACATCAATCTTAGTTACTGACACCATTTCTGTAAAACAAAAACACGCTGGCATGAAAAGGAGAGCGTCACAAACAACTGCAATACAAGATGATTATTATTTTCATTTTTTCTGTTATTGAATCCCTGGTTATTGTGGTTTGTTACGTTTTTTTCCGGGATTTTTGAAAACTTAACACTGATGACATCACACAAGTGTCACTGAGAAAGGGTCACAGTGGAAACTGTAGACGTGTTTGGCTTTGTTCAAGTTAACTACACTGTAAAAAAAAAAAAAAAAAAAAAAAGTTTTTCCAGCAGCTGGTGTGCCAGAAAAAAAAAACAAAAAACAAAATTACGGCTGTTAAATTACAACAATTTAAAGTAAAATAACAGCCATTAAATTACAGAAATTTACTGTAAAATAACGGAGTTACATTACAGAAATTTACCATAAAATAACAGCCGTTAAATGACAGAAATGTACTGTAAAATGACTGCCGTTACATTACAGAAATTTACCATTAAAAAAAAACAGATGTTAAATGACAGAAATGTACATTACAGAAATTTACCGTAAAATAACACCCGTTAAATGAGAGAACTTGCCCTGAAATAACGGCCATTACATTACAAAAATTTACAGCAAAACAACAGCCGTTAAATTACAGAAATCTACCATAAAATAACACCCGTTACATTAAAGAAATTAATCGCAAAATAACACCCTGACCATAAAATAACAGATGTTACATTACAGAAGTTTCCCGTAAAATAATGGCCGCTAATTACCATAAAATAATGACCATTGCATTACAGAAATTTACTGTAAAATAACGACCATTAAATGACAGAATTTTACCGTAAAATAACGGCCTTTACATAACAGAAATGTACTTTAAAAAAACAGATGTTATATTACAGAAATTGACCATAAAACAACGAGTTTTAAATTGCATAAATTTACTGTAAAATAACGGATGTTACATTACAAAAATTTACAGCAAAATAATTACCGTTAAATGACAAAAATTCACAGGAATTTTAAATTTAAGGAAGTTTGTGTGATTTAATGTCCATTATTGTACAGTAAATTTCTGTAATTTAATGCTTTTTTTGCTTAAAAAAAAAACAACAAAAAAAAGTAAAATAACAGATTTTTCTACAGTGTGACACTAATCAGCCTTCAGAGAATCAACATAGATTAGTTCACCCAAAAATGAAATAAATTACAGTGTCTTCACATTGTCAAAATTTTGTTCGCAAAAGAAGTCTATCATCAAAGGCGTAGAAATGTATAAAGTGTTGCTGTGTAAAACATGTGCTGGATAAGTTGCCGGTTCATTCCGCTGTGGCGACCCCAGATTAATAAAGGGACTAAGCCAAAAACAAAATGAATAAAAGAATTTCAGCGTCTTTTTTGATATAGTTTGTAAAACGATTAATACATTTCTTCTTTCTTGGGTGAACTATTCCTCTTACCAACTGTGGTTGCACTTTATTTTAGGGTAGGTGTACTAACAGTGTACTCAAGTAAGAAGGTACTGAGTTATACAAGTTAACAATATAAGGTAAGGTTAGATTAAGGGTTAAAGAGATTAAAGTTCACCCAAAAATTATGCTTTTTTTTTTTTTTTAGGTTTAATGGATTTCTTTTTTAGTTGAACACATAAAACAAAGATATTTGGAAGAATGTTGGTTGCTGGCACCCATCAACTTCCATAGAAGAAAAAAAAATGACTATGGAAGTCAATGCATGCCACCTACCAGCATTCTTCAAAATATCCTATTTTGTGTTTAATAGGAGACAAATAATAAATGAATAAAATAAGAAATGAATACATTTTTGGGGTGAGCTATTTCTTGTGAAACAGAACTGTAAGATAAAGTGCAACCTCAACCTCCCTAAAGAAGGACAGGTCATGTATGTTTGGAAAGAGTGATTCCTCATCTGACCTTTCTTCCATTTATCCCATCCTTTATGAACAGGACGAGCAAACTACAAGACAGAGAGGCTGTAACAATGAAACGGCACCTCACATACCTCCACAAACCCAAAGCAGGCTATATGCTATCCCACTGAGGTGTATGGAGTGTCACTGTGGTAGTTGTAGTCTGGACAGACCTTCTGTACCAGCTTATAGTCTGCACTGAAGAAGTCAATGTAGATGCAGATCACCTTGAAGGGCTTGGAGCACAGCCAGGACACATGACTTTGGGTTTGCTCCTGAAAGCAAACCCTGTTAGGGAAGTCGCTGCAAACGGACGTCCTCTTGCTTCGGTCCGTCTTCTCGTATTCCACTCGACAGTTGAACGCCTTACTGTCTTTGGGCACCTCGATGGTCTCCTGTTGAGTGATCTCAAAATCGACAGCCTTGGAAGGAGGGACCAGACTAACAGACACGTTCCCTAGACCGGTGGAATTGTGACGGAAATAGACACTGAAGGTCCCGTTGCCGTGGTCGACAATTTTCCCAGTAATGAGAAGGTTGAGCTTGACGGTTTTGATGTTGGAATGGAAGTCGCCCCAGCCGAACATCTTCTTAAACTTGCCGGTTTTCACATAGGGACGACGTTTGGCCCTCGAGAGGGTTCCCTCGCTATCGGTGTGGTTGGATAACCAAGCCCACAGATCCAGTGCCCCAGGGTCCGGAGCTGTTTCATGGTTTGGGCTGTTAGATTGGGACGTGTGGGAGAAAAGCCGCAGGGATTTGAGAATCTCAGAACGAGAGGCGTAAGGAGAAACACTTCCCTCTTTATCATTTTCTGCCCAACCCAGAGGAGCCACAGCAGCTCCGAGCTTCGCTCCACATGTCACCTTCAAAGACAAAACCACAGAGAGCACTGTTAACGCAAGAGCTGGAGGATGCTGATGTGGATTTTGAGAATAACAGAGATCCCATCCAATACAGTGGACAAAAAGAAAGATTTTTGTTGGTCAGCCTGAGGAAAGTCTTTTCCATAATGCAAACTTTTATTATTATCAAATGTAATGAAGGAGCCATCAGATTTTTACCAAATGAAAAACAAAAACTGAATAAAAATATTATTACTTATTAAATAAATTAAAAAAAACACTTATTTCTTTCTTACTACAATTATTAAGCGAAAAAATGTTTTTATTAAAAAATAATTAATTATAACAATAAAAAATACTGATTAGAAAATTTCAGTAGTGACCTACTCATGATAGTACTGCATTTCTTCAGCTAATTTGTTTGCTTATTTAATTTACATTAGATAGTTAAAAACTATTTTTGGGGTTTCTAAAAAAGTCCAAAACTCAAACATGTACTAAGAATAAAAGTTGTTTTTTTATTATAACTTTAAAGATTTAGCAAACTTTCGTTTTTAAATATTAAGGAATACCATTAACAGCTCGGCACATTTACACTTGCAAAACTCTACATGAATAATGTACTATTGTACGACATGACTAAGATGACAGCTACAGTAGAATGTACTGTAGAAGAAATCACATGAGGTGCATCACTCCATAAATAATAGCAACATGAATAAAACTAAAATTAAGCAGAAAATGTTTTTGTTAAAAAATTATTTATAAAATCAATTTAAAAAAAAACTAATTAAAAAATCATAATAGTGAAGTAATTTCTGAAACATTTCTTAAAAATCCATAATTAGAATAAACAATTTACAAATTTAATTAAAAATCAATAGGAAAAATTAAATAAGCACACAAAGTAGCTGAACAAATACAGTACTATCATGAGCAGGGAAAAAATAATTAATTATTTCCCAAAAACACAGCCTTTCTCCATAATATAACTTTTTTAAACTATTAAATGTATTAAGAACCATCAGATTTTCACCAAATGGAGAAAAAGCTGGAAAAAAAACTATTATTATTATTAAATAAAAAAAACATTTATTATTTCTTCTTAAATTTTCTTATTTTTACTAAGCAGATTTTTAATTATTAAAAAGCATAAACAATAAAAAATACTAATTACAAATATTACAATACTAACAAACTAAACAAATTTAAATAAAAAAAAAGTTAATTAAAAATCGATAGCAAAAATTAAATAAGCAAACAAATTAGATGAACAAATACAGCAGATTTTTACCAAATGAAGAAAAAGCTAAAAAAAAAACCATTGTTACTAAATAAAAATAACACTTATTATTTCCTGCTAAAATGTCTTATTCTTATTATTAAGCTGTTTTTTTTTAAGCTTAAGCTTTTTTGATTTTCTCACCTTTTTAAAATATTTCCCAAATGATGTTTAACAGAGCAAGGAAATTTTCACAGAATGTCTGATAATATTTTTTTCTTCTGGAGAAAGTCTTATTTGTTTTATTTCACCTGGAATAAAAGCAGTTTTTAATACTTTAAAACCCGTTTTAAGGTCAAAGTTATTAGCCCCTTTAAGTAATATTCTTTGATAGTCTACAGAACAAACCACTGTTATAGAATGAAGTACCCTAACCTGCCTAGATAACCTTATTAACCTAGTTAATCTTTTAAATGTCACTTTACGCTGTATAGAAGTGCCTTGAAAAATATCTAGTCAAATATTATTTAGTCATCAAGGCAAAGATAAAATAAATCAGTTATTATAAATGAGTTATTAAAACTATTATGTCTAGAAATGTGTTTTAGAAAAGAAAAATCTGTTAAACAGAAATTGAGGGTAAAAAATAAACAGGGGGGGCTAATAATTCACGGGGCTAATAATTCTGACTTAAACTGTGTTTGCACAATCAATTTTTAATTTTAGGGTGGGGTCCCATGAGGGGTCCCAAGTCTGTGGAACCTAAAAGATTTAAAACCCATTAAAAAAAAAAAAAAAAAAAACAACTTTCTTTTGATGTCCTATAGTGTGAAATCAATTAATTTCCCTTATAATGGGATTCTAACAGACATTAGTGATTAAAGTGTTTAGAGTCCTTACAATTTTGTACAATAATAGATTATAGAATAGAACCCCTCAGGTTCTCAACCAGGAATTTGCCAATGTATAAATCTGAGGACATGAAATAACACCTCAAGCATCTAAAAATGTGTCATTTAATAAGGTCTTCAAAAATCCAAATCTCAAACGTGCACTTTGCTTTTATCATGACTTTACAGATTACAACATCTAGAGTTCTCCAGCCTCCAGCACCTAGACTGCTGCTCTGCACAAGAAGTTTGGCCAGAGGGGAAATGGTCATGCCCCTCTGAGCCTGGATTCTCTCAAGGTTTTTTACACTTTTGTCAATTGGTGAAGTTTGTTCCTCGCTGTTACATTCCTGTGTTGAGTAATTATTGTGATTTTTTTTTCCCGCTGGTCTGTCTCTCTCTGTCTCTTTCTCTCTCTTCCACTCATACAGTGGCTCCGATTGGCTATACCCTAACGTCACCACACGGTCTCCAATCCAGCTGCTGCCATCGTGGCGTAGGCTAAAAGTGGTGACAGGATGCTACTCGCGAGGCCCCGGGACACTTGAATTTCTGTGTTGTGTTGTGTGTCAGTGAAATTTCTATCCGTTTTCAGTGTTACAATTTGTTATATGTCCGTTGTTATTTGTCTGTTCTCCATTTGTCTACCATCAGTGATACGCGCATCTGAAGTTGGAGAGTGGGACAGGTAAAAATGTTGCGCGACATACACTCTAAAAATCATGGGGTTATTCTTTCTACCCAAATATTGGGTTGAGGCATTTGGGTAATTTTTGGGGGTTATTTTCAGAGTCTTGAGTAGTTTCAAGCCAGCTCTTTGGGTCAAATCAACTCATAGCAGGGGCTGACTGGGATTCCACATATTAATTACTAATTTGTTTAAATGCAATGAAAATAGTGTAACATAAACGCAGATTCCTTGCGTTTTCAAATGATTAAAATGAGATTTATGCTCATAGCAGCCCTTAGTCAGACCTTTCTGAATTTTAAAATGTCTTACTAGCACCTTTTGTACACCTGTAATCAAAGCTGCACACCCCCACCGTACTTCAGTGACGCAGAGTCAAAACAAAACAATTGCCAGGTCATCTTTTGCAGGTATTTTTTGGATCAAAATAAGCTATTATTTAAATAAAAATAAACAATTATTAGGTAGAAAAAAACAACCCATTTATGGGGTTAAAAATAATAACCCAATTACTTGGGTTAATTTAACCCCGGATGTGTTCTGTCCTGTATTTCCCCAGCATTCATTCATTCATTCATTTTCTTGTTGGCTTAGTGCCTTTATTAATCCGGGGTCGCCACAGTGGAATGAACCGCCAACTTATCCAGCAAGTCTCATCTCTCCAACTCTCCCATCTATCTGTTCAAACATTTTGCGTCCCATTTGTTGTCTGTAATATCCAATATATTCTTGTAAATATTTATTGTTCTTTTTATATACATATTTTTGCACTTATTATTATCACTACCTTTGTAAATAAAAAATTTAGTAAGTAAATATTTAGTTAGTCGTGGTATTTTGTCCCTCACTTGTTGATATTGTGTGTTTGCTTATGAATGTTACTCTCCTTTGACTGACCCATTTTTAAAATCATAACACTCGCCACCGGCTTGCTTGGTTAGGACTTGTGGAGCTGCTTATCGATGGATTTGCTCTTCAGTGTTTGGACTTTCAGCGGTGAAAATTAAACCACGCTGAACTGAACTGAACGTCACCTCTGAAAACTGGATTGATAGTTTCACTTTACTAGAACTTCTATGTTAAGCTGCCTTGACACAATCTACATTGTAAAAGCGCTATAGAAATGAAGATGAATTCAATTCAATTAAGTAGAAATACTAAGAAATACCATAAACTGCTGCGTACATTTACACTCAGATCGCAAAACTCTACATGAATAGTGTACTACAGTACGACATGACTAAGATTACAGCTACAGTAGAATGTACTGTAGAAGAAATCAAAGGAGGTGCATCGCTACATAAATAATAGCACATAAATAGGGAATGAGAAACTGAAAGCTGCATTAGACAGACTTGTTTTAAATGATGCAAACAGGATGTAACATCTCCAGAGTATGAAACCCTTCACTGCAACGTGAGATTATTACTGACACCATAAACGCTACAAACCTCAAATCTAAAACAGCGACACCCTCAAACAAACCCAGCAAAACTGGATGCTTAAAAAAAACCATGCGACTACTAACGGTTTGAATCTAAAGTTCCATATCAGTTCTCCAGCCTATCAGTGTGAATCCTTTGTTTTGCAATGTAGGCTTGGTGAAAAATGAATGAACAGAAAACAGCGCAAAGGAGTGAGATAAGGGAGGAGCTGCCCTACTCTTCTTCTCTATCTCTCCATCTTTCAGAAAAGGCTCAAAAGACACTCGCATATACTTTCAAAGGGATATTTTGATGGAATGAAAGAGTGTATATGTCCCAAAAGGCTGTTTAGTCTCCATCTCCCCGATCTTTTTCCGCTTTCTCCAGCATTTCCCATTTATTTTCAGAGATAAAGAACTCAAGGAGGGCAGATATTTAGACGCCACAATTCAAAGCAGTTCTGATGAATGAGAACTAAAACTTGCGCATTAACACATACAATTTCTTATCAATATTGTGCAAATTCATGATTCAATCGTGAACTACAGACATCCTCTATAAGAATGCAGAGACGATCTGCAGGTTAGAAACGATGTATAGGAAAACAGGCCGGGCTCCAGCTTGGAACTTTAGGGTGGGCCAAGACACATTCCAGTTGAAGTCAGAATTATTAACCCCCCTGTTTATTTTTTCCCCCAATTTCTGTTTAAAGGAGAGTTTTTTTTTCAACACACTTCTAAACATAATAGTTTTAATAACTTATTTATAATAACTGATTTATTTTATCTTTGCCATGATGACAGTAAATAATATTTGACTAGATGTTTTTCAAAACACTTCTATACAGCTTAAAGAGACATTTAAAGGCCTAACTAGGTTAATTAGAGTAACTATGCAGGTTAGGGTCATTTGGCAAGTTATTATATAACAGTGGTTTGTTCTGTAGACAATCAGGAAAAAATATAGCTTAAAGGGGGTTATTATTTTGTCCTTAAAATGGTTTTTAAAAAATTAAAAACTGCTTTTATTCTAGCCAAAATAAAACAAATAAGACTTTTTCCAGAAGAAAAAATATTATCAGACATACTGTGAAAATTTCCTTGCTCTGTTAAACATCATCTGGGAAATAATAAAAAAAAAAAAAGGAAAAAAAAGGGAGGCTAATAATTCTGACATCATATATATATATATATATATATATATATATATATATATATATATATATATATAGCATTGTTACGGTCAATTCAACTACAATTTGGTAACTACCCATAAAAAATGTTCTTGCTATAATTCATTGTTATTTCTACACATTATTAAATTCATCCATAACAGAGTTGACAAAAAATATAAAAAAAAAAACAGTAAAAGTAAAACATTTAATCATTTATGTTTGCTGTTTTCAAAGAGCTTTATTCCTTAACTTTTTGAAAATGTCAACTGTACATGCAATAGAATCATCCATATTGCTTTAAATGAAGATAATAATCTTTACAATAACTGTCACTAAAGTGTTCACGATGCTGGAATGTTCAACTTCGAGATGATCCCTTGAAAAAATATCAACATTCGATGCCATTTTCAATATTTTGTGATTTAAAAAATCTTAATATCTTTATTAATTATTATTTAATGCACCAGAGCCGCTATGGACATTATAGTATTTAAAAAAATAATAAAATTTGATATTCTTTGCATAATAGCCTACTTGTTGGAGATAGATAGTTAATTATAGCCTAAAAAAAACATTTTTCTGCGTTTATTTCACATATAAAACATACAGTATAACGTTTTAATCAATGCACATATGGCATTTAGCGTGCTTTACAATAGTGTTTTATGTGTGTGAGTCGACCTGCTTGCTGAAACATCTTGAATTCTCAATATTTTTTCAATATTTATTATTCAATCCTGAATTTTCAATATTGTATTGCACTACTGTTAAGCACAACAGTGAACAGAAACAGTTTCAGATCTAGTGTGTATATGTTTTTGACGTTTTCCCTTGTCAGCTAAAAAGTTCAATAACTGAGGGAGATCACAAATTATAATTTGATAAATTTAAAGGGAAAAATCGACAGCACTTTACATAGCTGTATTATTTAATAGTGTCAGTGATGTTGATATTAGTTAAGTTACTAACATCTCAATACTGTATATTGTATTTAAATTATTCTGTACTTTTTTTTCTTTTTATTGGTATTGTGCTGTTTTTGTTAAATATCTTATAAATGTATAAATAACCAAATAAATAAATAAATAAAGTTAAAAAAATAAACAAGCACAAATTTGTTTAAAAATATACACAATTTATTTTTTACTTTCAAACTTATGACATCAGGGACTTGATCTAATGTAAATATGTTTAATTTAAGTTCAAGAATGATAATAAATTGATTTTATTTAAAAAAACAAATAAAAAGCTAAAAAAAAAATCGGGCTTAGTGATGGACATGAAAAGAAAAGTCTCTTGAGAAAGGTCACAGATTGTCATTTCATCTTAAAGTAGTTTCTGGGCTTTAAAGCTTCAAATTAAAATCTGCATTGGCATTGGGTGAAGACAGTTTATATGCATTCAGATTAATCTTTGGAAATAATAACAATCACAAGCGTTTCGTTCTCCTTTGAGAAATAAGTCAAATTGATGGATTAAGAGGCCCTGCAGAAACTGGATTATCAGAAAATTTATTGAGGAAAGGAGACAAAAAGCTGTGGCATATTTGAATATTTGAATCCTAATCATTTTGCCTTATATGTAATTCAATGACATACAAAGCAATTCAATATTTTATTTCATATCCATTTTTTTTCCTTAGCTGGGTGTAATATTGAGGAAATTGTTAAAAAAAAAACTAAAAAAGCTAACATGTTAATTTTTGTATTTATTCTTTAAAATGTCTGATTACATTTTGTTACAAAATATAAAATAAAATGTTAGCTTTTTTTCCCAGTAAATTACAATTTGGTCAGAAAGAAAAACATTTTAATCTGAAAAACAGGGTTATTCCAGCAAATATTGCTTTCTGAAATCGTCTAAAACTAAAACTTTGATAATTTTTTTTAAATGATTATAAATATGCCTAAAAAAAATAAAAAGTGCTCAGCATAAATAAGAACACCCCTCACAAATCTATCTTTTAAATTTATATTTGTTATAAAAACCTATACAAAATTATATTTGTGCATATACATTAGATTAGTCAGTACTGAAGCCTCTGGAGCTTATCTAAAAAAAATAACTTTCCAAAAAGTAGTACACCCAAATTTCTACGTTATAGAAAATTAATAAATTACACTTTAAAGAGGAAAAATCAAGAGAAGCAAAAAAAAAAAAAAAAAATGTGTTAAAATTTTTGTAGGTTGTAATTTTTTTTTTTTTTTGCAATATTTTGCTTGAATTTAATTGTATTATCTTTCAATTTCTATTTATGTTTGGTGACTAAAATATTATTTAATAAATCTGTTTTGTTAAAATGCACCAAAATACATTGCCAATATTCACTAAGAAATGGAAATATTATTTTTCAAAACGGGGTGTACTTAATTATGCAGAGCACTGCATACACCCACAAATTAAATATATTTAAATATAAATCAATTAAATATTTTTTATATTATTACTTATTTATTTTTAGACATATTTATTTATACTTTATAAAAAAATTAAGCACATTTTTTGTTTCGTTTTTTATTTTATTTTTGCCAATACATTTATTGTGAAACCATCAAAATAAACACTGCAACAGTAACATACATTCAATTTAGCTAAAATAATTGAATTAACATTCATACCATGTGTAAGCAGAGCATTAGCAGGGCAGAGTAGCACTGGCACATCTTCATGTATTTTGTAAGTCCAGCTCACAGGGTTAGTAAAGATCAGGTCCACTTGTGGCTTGGTCTGGTATCAGTATGCCTAAAAACACAAAAATCTGTCATACTTACATGAAATCAACATAAAAGTAAACAACAAATAACATTAGATATTCTTCATACTTGAGTTTCACTGAAAAACTGCATGAATGTGTAAAATGAAGCATTCGTTTTGGTAGCTATATAAAAAGTTGCCAACCGTTGAGGACTTCAAGGACAACACAAACACTTAATACACTTCATTAAACATGTAGACATCACCTATGTGCTATAAAATTGCAGATTAATAATGTTTGTATTTAATGACTTATATTTGATTGTACTTGATTTGATTGTAATGCGGGCGACATGATGGCTCAGTGGTTAGCGCTGTCGCCTCACAGCAAGATCGCTAATTCGATTGTTGGCTGGGTCAGTTGGCATTTCTGTGTGGAGTTTGCATGTTCTTCCCGTGTTTGTGTGAGTTTCCTCGGGTGCTCCGGTTTCCCCCACAGTACAAAGACATGCTGAATAAATAAATGAACTGAATAAACTAAATTGGCTGTAGTGTTTGAGTGTGCATGTCAGACTGCATGGGTGATCACCACTACTTGAAAGGCATCTGCTGTGTAAAACATAATCTGGATAAGTTGACGGTTCATTCCGCTGTGGCGACCCCTGATTAAAAAAGGGACTAAGCCGAAGAGAAAACGAATGACTGATTAGTTTTATTATTATTATTTTAACGCTGTGTTGTGAATAACACATCTTACAAATAACAAACCAAAGACAATAATAATTAGGTACTAAAACATGTTTTTAAAATACAATCATGTTGTTTAAAGTTTTAAATTCAGCCTGACATCCGTTACAGCACACAATTTCAAGTGTACAGAGCTAAATGATAATGATAATAAGAGATCTGCACATTGTAGAAAAAGTACCTTAAATTCAGAGTAAATTACTGGCTAATAATTGCATTACTTTCACAGTGAAATACTATATGTAAATTTACAGCAAATTACTGTGAGGTAGTTCACAGTAGTTTATTGTGATTTTGTTACATTAAATTACTGTGACATATAGTGTTACTTCACAGTAGATAGTCAAGTCCATTACTATGATTTCACAGTATAATCTTGTAGAATTACCTATATTTTACTGTGAAGCAGGCTTTCCTCAGCTATTCATTCTGACATTTACCCTGACTTTGAAATCATTTTGGGTGTTTAACAGTGTTTGGTTTTATGAATCAATTACTTTTGTTCCAGTTTATTATGTTTTTGGCTAAGCACAAAGTTATTTTCATTTAAAAATGATTTCATATTTCCATGTTAACCTTATAAAACTAAGGTTCAATGCACCCAAAAATTAACAATTACAATGACATTCATGTCGTTTTAAAACAGGATGATTTTCTTTCAAGTTATTTTCGAAGATTGGAGTTGCAATGACATTGTTATTTCTAAATATTAAAAAAAGTGACTGGCATAAACTGGCATACTGGCATAAAAGTTCATTTGTGTTAATATCTTTGTTGAATGAAATAGAGTTTGGATTCCTATAACTGACATGCAAAAGATATATTCCTTTTAATTTGCTGTAATCCTGCAACCTGCCTTAATTTCACAATAAAATTATGAATACAACACCATTACTGTGAATTTTTACAGTTAAATCCTGTAACATGATACTAATATAATTTACTGTGAAAAATTACAGTAACATGTTGTAAAAATCAGGACATTTTTACAGTCTTACCAAATGAATCACTAAACCAACAGCAAACTATGTTTATTATTATTATTACTTTTATTAAAGTAATTAATTTTATTACTCACCCTTCTACAGAAGAGTTGGAGCCATGCATTTCTGTGCTTTGAACATCCTTACAGTGCGCAAAGAGTGAGACTGAAACCCAGTGATGACGAACATCGCTCCCGGACAGTCCGAACTCAAAGTGACCGGCAATGAAAACTTCTTTGCATTTGATTAAAACAATATAATCTTCTTCTTTACTCAGCGTGGCTCGTGTCCAGCTGCATTAAATCCTCTTAGCTCTGCTCATCTGGGCTGCGCGCCTTTTCTCTGCAACACTCACATATCCTAACGCGATTATGTGTGGATGTGATTGTCTATCCGAAAGAAAAACAAATAATAAAACTGCTCTCTAAGCAGTCCCCTGGGTGAAAGTCCAGCTTTGCTGCATCCTCGCTCTCTCTTTGCTAAACTGATGTTGTGTGATGGATCAGTGCGCTTTTAGGTTGTGACAGAGGAGTCACTGAGCCCAACCCCTCAACATCAGCACCAATAACTGCACACATCATCACACTTTACAGATTTTTATGTGTATGTAAAACTGTATGAACCCAGCAAGTGTAAAGAAACACTTTGTTGGTTCGTAAAACAGAAGGTGAATTTGCCTTGTGGGCAGAGTTTGTTTTCTGTTAAGAGACTGCAGGAATAAAACCTTTAATACATTAGATATGAAACTTGTTTATTCTGAGTATTATATTTAATAATAATAATGATAATAATAATAATAATAATAATAATAATAATGGGGGGAAAAATAAAATTTTTCTAGGTGCCTATTTTTTTAACACTGTCTTTATTATTTTTAGTAGCTTTTAATATGTACAACAGAAATCAAAATCAAACATATAAAATAATAATAATAAAAATATAAATAATAATAAATAAAATATTCAATTCAATTCAGCTTTATTTGTATAGCGCTTTTACAATGTAGATTGGGTCAAAGCACCTTCACATAAATGGTCATAGTAACTGGAATAGTGTGGTTCAGGTTTTAGTGTTTAAGTTCAGTTCAGTTTAGCTCAGTTCAGTGTGATTTAATCATTACTGAGAGTTCAAACACTGAAGAGCCAATTCATCGATGCGTAGCTCTACCAATCCTGAACCATGCGAGGCAGTGGCGACAGCGGAGAGGGAAAAAAAACTTCACCTATAAAACAAATATAAAACAAAAAATGATATAAAACAAAAAATATATAACGATGGTTTGTTCTGTAGACAGTCAAAATATAAATTGAAGGGGCTAATAATTTCGTCCTTAAAATGCTGTTTAAAAAATTAAAAACTGCTTTTATTCTAGCCGAAATAAAACAAATAAGAAATACTAAATAATATAAATATAAATATTATCAGACATACTGTGAAATTTTCCTTGCTCTGTTTAACATCATTTGAGAAATCTTTAAAAAAAAAATTAAAAAAAAATATTCGGGGGGGGGGGGATGTAATAATTCTGACTTCAACTGTATTTGCATATACAATATTGAGGTACATCATATAACAACAACGGTATATCAATAGTTATACAGAGAAAAGATTCCTTCAGGAAACCTACAAAGGGATCCCAAATTTTGAAAAACGTTTCAGGTTTTCTCTTGACTATACAAGTAAATTTTTCTAAAACCAAACAATAATACAATTCTTGCAAACATTGTGCAAAATGTGGGCTTTCTGTACTTTTCCAAAAACAAGCTATTATAAGCTTTGCATGTAATAAACAGAAAGTTAACAGTTTATTTTCCGAACTAGTAAAAGTGCTTGTAATTGGAAAAATATTAAGAATACATGGTTTTGGACATTTGAGTATATCCTGTTTTAATACTTTATAAAAAACGTTTTGAATTTTCTCCAAAAAATGTTCAACCAAAGGACACATAAACAATGATATAGAGTTCCTATCTCTTTATTGCATTTTACGCATTGATCAGGAATGTTTGGATTAAATTTGTGAAATAATTCTGGAGTTATGTAAAGTCTCATATTCCATTTGTAGCAGAAGTTTGAATCGTGTTTTAATTGCCATTCATCTTCTATTCTAGGTGACTTTATATTGGTAAAATAAACAAAATGCTTTTGTATATACACCTGCAAGTCCTGGTAATAAAAAGCAATGACCACTAAATGGAGGTTTAGAAAACAGAAAAGAAAATAAGCATTAATAGCTATTGCACTATATGAAAAATAACAAATTATATCCAAAAACACCAAGAATGAAAAAGGTAACAATAAAATATTCAATCATTGTTCTGCCAAACACATTCTATAGGTGACTTGCATAAATGTATAACAAGTAAAATTACCAGACATTTAAAAAAAAAAAAAAAAGGCCTGTCACGATTTCTATTTTTTGTTGTAGGATATATTGCACCAAAATATATTGCGATAAATTATATTATTGTCTTTTTATCACAAGACCATTTTATGCACTCATTATATAATGCTAGAATGCAAATACACTCTCCGCATAATAGAAGACATATTTTATTCTTAAGAATATTTAATTATAGTCATTTTAACTATTGAATAATTAGACATTGGGATCGGAATGTATGCTGAACAAATTAATAAGGTAAATATAGTGTTTATTTGTCTATAGTGTTTTTCTAAACCATACTGACACTGACACCAATAGAGATAAAGATGTTGCCCAATCAGCTAAAATGTTGCTATTGTTTCTTTTTTTTTTTTTATGGACGATTTCCTATATTGCATAACCAAAAATGATTGCGATCATGGCCATGTAAAATAATAAGTTTGTACGATGACATTATTTAAAATAAATAAATAAATAAATTATATATATATATATATATATATATATATATATATATATATATATATATATATATATATATATATATATATATATATATTGTTCAGTGCAAGATATTTTGCAAAAAATAAACTAAACATTTCTGACACTTGCTGAAAAACTTGCTGACAAACGGGAAAATCCCAATAGGTTAAAAGATAGTGGCCATGTTTAAAATTATAATTATTAATCAGTGATTATCAATAATTCATTAGTATTTTGGGTTAGTGATCTCTTAATAAATAATCAACTGATTATTGTTTAGAATATACCTGACAAGACTTTTCGGTATACTTGATGGTATTTTAGTGGATTTCTTTGGTTGATCATAAAAATTGATTAATTAACATTTGTCCATTATAGTGAACAAAATTGAATCACTTAAATTCAATTAATCAGCAAAAGTAATTCTAAGGCATTCGAAAAATGTGGAAATTGTTTTAGAAAGCCCTAAGTGGCTATTTCAAGGCTTTTTAATATATTTCCACATGCTTCGAGTCCCTTGGATTTATTGGGTTATAAGTACACCCCTCACAAACCTGTCTTTTAAACTGATATTTTTTTAATAGGAAGCTATACAATATTATATTTGTGCATATATGTTATATTAGTCAGTACTGAAGCCAGATCTGGAGCTTATCTAACAAAATAACTTACGATAAAAGTGCAAAAACTAGTATACCCAAATTTCTGTCATAGAAAACTATTAAATACAAACTTTATATATATAAAGAAGTCATTTGTTATAAGAATGTTTCTGAAAACTAAAACGAGACTACAGAAATGAAATTATTTGGAAACAGCTCCGCTCTGTGGTTGTAACAGCGACTGCAGTTCAATCCTCTGTGGAGTCAAGCGCGCAGACAAAGAGATGTGTTAATGCAGGATTTATTTACTCAAGCAAAGAGCCGATGTTCGAGTACAAATAAAAGAACAACACAATAAATATCAGAACTTACAGATCTATCCATTTATAAAATGAACAAAAACTCGGCAGCAGCGATGCACGTTTCTTCAATCACAAAATAACTAACAAAACTACTTACAAAGCTTCTCTGCAGACTCATTTGCAGGACTCCCTTATAATCTGGTTCTGATTCTTCAACATTGTTGCCAACAAGGACATGAAGTTCGGTTTCTGCACATTAGGTTTTGGGTCAGAGATTTTCTTTTGATTCCCCTGTTTAATCTTGGGTTTCACACTGAACAGATCTGTGGGCGTCCTGAACCAATCGGAATCCTCAGACGACTCTTCCTGCAGCTCAATCTGGGCTTCATGAATCTCTCCATGCTCATGCTGCTGCCGTGGGCTTTTCCTCTGCTCCCCGGTTTGCAATTGTTCATCAAACTTCAGCACCCGGCGTGTTACGTCTACACCATCAGACACTTCCAGCTCCTTCATTTTGCCCTTGGCATTAGCGCTCTTCTGATTGCTGGAGTTCTTTTGGTTTGATTTTAAAAGCTTTTCTTCTGCATAGAGTTCATCCTCCTGTGTTTCTCTGACACTGAGGTTGAATGGAGAGAGCTGCTGGAGAAAGGTGTTGTTCACTGAAGGCCTTCTTTTTACAGAGGAGTTCCAGCCGGCAATGGGTGGAAAAACCACTCGCGGCCTCTTCCGATGTCGTGGCTTTGCTCTGGTAATGGACAGGTCGGACTGAATGGAGGTCAGATACTTGCAGCGACGCAAAATCCTAAACATGAGTACAGAAAAAGAATTTAATTATCACTGTATGCTTATTACTGGAGTAGTTGACGTCTTTCATTGAATAATATAAATGTAAGTTACATTGTGCTCAGCTATTTGTCTTTTTTTACTAAACAAAAAAAAGTTTTATCATGATGTGATGCATTATCATAATATGGTTTTTGATCACTTAATTAATACAATGTGCACCAAATGCAAATATATAAGCTTAGACATTCAGCTTTATTAAAAAAATGACATTTTAAAATACAATATAGCGTTAATAATTTTGAATTGTAATTATGATGAAAATAATAATAATATTAATTCACAACATTACATATTTTACTGCATTTTCTCAATTAATTGTGTGAAAGCACCCTAAAATCATTGCCGGTTCCTGCAGTGTGAACATACCAAAAACTGCTTAAAATTGATCCATTTGTCTAAAACATTTATGTAGTGTGATTTCATTCCCTGTTAATCTTGCAACTCTGAGTCATAAAAAAAAAAAAAAAAAGTTTTTTTTTTTTTGATAATGGCTTGTTGACTCACCTCTGCAGAAACACATGAGGTCTGGAGCACTTCATCTGAGTTCTGACAGCTGAAAAACCGGAGCCTTGTGCTAACATCTTCCTAATGTGACTTAAGCTGGTCCACAATAACCTGAAGATCAACATTCACACAGCTCACACCCAGGCATATTATTATATTATTATTAAATTAAAATTATAAAAAGAGTAATTGACAGATGGCAAAAATATTTTTATTAAAACATGGCTGATTACACTTTGAAAAGGAGAATTCTTTTAAGCTGGTCCTACAGTATGTGTAGTTTTAATAATGCATGAAAGTGCATTGGGTGATGCGTGCTAATGAAGAAAGAGAAAAGTTGCTCATTTACACATCCTTCTCATTTAA